CGAAAAAAAAAAAAAAAAAAAAAAAAAAAAAAAAAAAAGAAAAAGTACGTTGAATTGCCAACATGCTGTGGAATTAAAGGGGACCTGCACTTTTGACATTGGATATTTTGTAGCATTAGAATGTTAATAACAGTATTTTGTTAGACTCACAAGCTATAAAAGTTTTCTTTGCTGCTAATATATAAAGCAGTTATGTGAAAGTAGACTTTAATTTGTAGCCTTTTTTTAATGGGCATTATATCCATTTTCACCCCCCTTCCCCTCTCATTTCAGGTTTTTTTATTCATTATTCTTCCCTGGGCTAATTGTATGTGGAGTTTTATGTGTGTGTTTACTCATTGTCCTTTGGGGAATCAGACTGCTGCTACAGAGAAAGAAAAAGTCGGGCTCAGCTAGCAAAACTGGGAAAAATCAAACGGTGATTGCATTTTTCCATCCCTACTGCAACGCTGGCGGAGGAGGAGAAAGAGTATTATGGTGTGCCTTAAGGGCTCTTCAGAAAAAGTAGGTATGCATCTTTCTTAACAATTTGGTGTATTGTTACTATTTTTGTAAAAAATCATCACCCAGAATGTGTCTTTCTCTAGTCATAGCCAGGGATTCCTTTCTTAAACTATTCTTCAGTAAGGAAACACTGCTTATATGCCAACCTGTCTTACAATATCCTACTGCATTTTACTTGATATGATAAAGAAACAGAAAGGGGAAGTATCTGCCCTTTTATGGCATAATTCAGTGGGGACAACTTGAGAGAGTATGTGGAGAAGAGATTGAATAATAAACAGAAACATACCAAGTACTGTGAAGCACTTTAAACCTGAATACTTTCAGTCAGTGGTGGCACACAGGAAATAATCTCTCTGAAAGCATCTATTTGATTCTCATTTTGATATCATTATCAGTTGGATAGTCTTAAGTAAGTTACCATGTTAGAAAGAATTTGGTGTTACACATCTTTTAATGTTCTAGGCTTCCTTCTCCCCACCCCTATCCCACAAGAAAAGAAAAGGCACAGCAAAATATGGGTTTCATTATTGTTTTATTATATGAGGAAAACTATTATCCTTGCATGGTGACCCTACTTCCTGGCACACGCCCTTCATTCAGTTTCAGAGTCTTCCCATGTAATGCCCTTAGCTCTACATTTCTACATTCTTGGCCCTTCTTGGCTTCTAGCCACCGTCCCTGTGTATCCTCTGCCATCTCCCATAACTGCCTAAATGCAGAGAATTTTCTTAAATCCCAGCTTAATTCCCACCTCCTTGAAGCCTTCCTACTGTAGTCCATACTGTTCTTTCCTTCTCATAACACTGTGCATTAGCCTTGTCTCTAGATTACCCTTGAGGGCAGTGGTCAAGTTTCATGGTATCTGTACTCATACTCCCCAGCAACCCCTATTACTCCTCTACCTGACTGATGAGGAAAAAAATCCAAATAATTAGTATGACGTAGAAGATACGTTTTCATCTTGCTCCTGCCACATTTTGTTTCTCATCCCTCCCATCCCCTCACACATACTTTGCTCCAGCATACTGACCTAGGAGCATCACGCCCTCTCAAGATTCCTTGCCTTTCCATCTAGTGTTCCTTTTTTTCTGAAATAACCTTTTTCTCCTTAGGTAAGTCCTACAAGTCTTTCCTGACTCAGCATAAGCTACAGTACACTTTTCATTCAATCTCCCTATATTTGGGGAGTGGGGGAAGCGGGGAGGACCTACTATGTATCGGATTGGCCAAAAAGTTCGTTCGGGTTTCTCTAACATCTTGCGAAAACCCCGAACCAACTTTTTGGCCAACCAATATCAAGCAGTGTTCTAAGGGGTTGAATTTAAGTGGTGAACAAGATAGATCAAGTCCCTCTTATGGACCTTAGATATCAGTTGAGAGAGAGACAAGATAATAAATGGAAAATATCATATGGTGAGAAGTGTTATATAAGAAATTCAAATAGGGTAGTATGAGAGTGACTCCACCCTTTAGACTGAGTAAATTAGGTACAATCTCTGAGGAAACAGCACAACTAAATTCTGACCGACAAAAATAGCTGACGTTTACTGACCTTTTACTGTCTGCCGGGCGTGGTTTGAAGTGTTTCACATGTGTTAGGCGACTCAGTCCTCATTACAACCTAGCGAGGTGGTTACTGTTATCCTCATTTGACAGACAAGGGAACTGAGTTCCTAGAGCCCATGTTCTAAACATACGCTCTCCTGCTCACTTTATGAAAAGACAGTGAGGGTGAGAAAAGAATTCAAAGCAGAGGGAGCAACTGCTGCAAGTCCCCTAAGACTGGAAGGAGCCTGGCTTGTTCAGAGAAGGGAATCCAGTGTGGCTGAACCCTGCTGAGCAAGTGAGAGAGTTGGGGAGCAGCGGGTTCCAGAGGGAGGCGGTGCCCAGTATGCAGTGCTTGAGCGAGCAGGGTGAGGAGTTTAGACTTTATTCCAAGTGCTGTGGAAAACCATATGAGGGTTTTAAACAGATATTCTGCTTATCTACTGCTGCTTAGTAAACCACCCCAAATTGAATGGCTTAAAACAAGAATTTATTATTATTTCTCAGAGTCTGGAAGTTGACAGGCCCTGTTTGGAATCCTTCACGCTCAAACTGTCGCAGTTAGATGGCAGCTGGGGCTGGAGTTGTCGGAAGGCTTCTTCCCTCACAGATCTGGTTCCTGGCCTGGAATGACTGGGTCAGGCATCTCTGTCACCAAACAGCTTCTCCGTGTGACTAGCTTGGGCTTGCACACAACATGGCGGTCTCAGGATAGCAGGACTTCTTACATGACAGCTGTCTCCCCTTAGAGTGAAGTAGAAAGGTGCCAGTCTCTTAGAGCCTGGGTCCAGAAACTGGCACAATGTCACTTTTGCCATATCCTATTGTTAAAAGCAGTCAAGAGCCCACTGTTACTCCAGGGGAGGGGACACAGATCCACCTCTCAACGGGAAAAGTGTCAAAGATTTTGTGGCCATCTTTAAGCTGCCATAGGTGACCATCCTTTTTACATTTTAAAAGGCTCAGTCTAGTTGCTGGGAGGGGGGCTAGTGAGGAGTGATTAGATGCTCATCCTTTAGACATCACAGCATCCTGGGGTTTTCATCAGTACACAGCACATTATTTGTTTATCTGTTCTCTCCACTGGACTGAGCTCCTTGAGGATAAAGACTCTCCATCATCCCTTATTCTCTAGAACCTAGTAGCTCACACTAGGTAAGTTAATAAATGTTCTATATGACTCAGAGAATAATTATAAACACAGCCAGAGTGAGGCCAAAGTGTTAAAATCATAAGAATGTACTTTTCCATATTTCCATTATAACTATATCTAATTGTGATGCAGGCACAAGGTCTAGCTTAAAACCTTTGTGCATTTCTCAGATTAAAAACACTAATGCTTTAGCATTTATGATCCTATCTAAAGATATCTTCAGTGAATTTTAACTCTTGTTTATGAATATTTTATTAATATTTCATTACCATTATAATGCTGAGAAAGTTGTCAGAATTTTTGAATACTTCTTAAAAATGAAAATGTCTCATTTATAAATCAGTAATTTTGTTGATGTCTGCTGGAGGGAAACTCTCAGTGGAGGGAAAAGCAAAGAACTAGAAGTCTCCTTTGGAGGACTGACATTTTAGTTGTAGGGCAGTGGAAGACCCAGGAGGGAATGGAGTCAGTAAAAAACAATGGAAAACATTTTTTTAGTCTAAAAACTAAGCTGCTTTATGATTGTGAGAAAATAATTGTCTACAACCTAAACTGATTTTAACCTAAACTAATGAAATTCTTAACTGTTACATTCTGATTTAGGTATCCTGAAGCAGTTTATGTTGTTTATACTGGTGATGCTGATGTCAGTGGTCAACAGATACTGGAAGGTGCTTTCAGAAGATTTAACATCAGATTAACTTGCCCAGTGAAGTTTGTTTTATTAAGGAAGCGCTACCTTGTGGAAGATTCACTCTATCCTCATTTCACACTGCTGGGCCAAAGTCTGGGATCCATTTTTCTTGGCTGGGAAGCTCTGATGCAGTGTGTTCCCGATGTTTACATCGATTCTATGGGCTATGCTTTCACGCTTCCTCTGTTTAGGTATTTAGGCCGTTGCCGAGTTGGAAGCTATGTTCATTATCCCACCATCAGCATGGACATGCTCTCTGTAGTGAAGAATCAAAATGTCAGATTTAACAATGCAGCCTTCATCACCAGGAATCCTTTTCTCAGCAAAGTAAAGCTTATCTACTACTATTTATTTGCTTTTATATATGGGCTTGCTGGTTCTTGTAGTGATGTTGTCATGGTCAATTCTTCTTGGACGCTAAACCATATTCTCTCACTGTGGAAGGTTGGGAATTGCACTAATATTGTTTATCCACCTTGTGATGTGCAGACGTTTCTGGACATTCCCTTACACAACGAGAAGACAACCTCAGGACATTTACTGGTTTCAATTGGCCAGTTCAGGCCTGAAAAGAATCATCCTTTGCAGATCAGAGCCTTTGCTAAATTGCTGAATAAAAAGGAGGCTGAGTCACTTCCTGCACTTAAACTTGTCCTCATTGGAGGCTGTCGTAACCAAGACGATGAACTTAGGGTAAACCAACTGAGAAGGCTTTCTGAGGACCTAGGAGTTCAAGAAGACGTGGAATTTAAAATAAACATTCCATTTGATGAATTAAAGAATTACTTGTCTGAAGCAACAGTTGGTCTGCATACCATGTGGAACGAGCATTTTGGGATTGGTGAGTTTCTCCTCTAAACAACTTGTTTGGTGCCATGAGATATACATTTTAGGTGATTTTGATAAAATGATAATATTCCGGAAGTTTTCAGCAAGTCCTCAGTCTCTTCCCCGAGTCCACCAAGTGTGCTTTCCTCATTTGAGACCCTGTAAAACATATAATCAATAATAATAGCTAATGTTTATTGACCACTCACTGTGTGGCAGTCACTCTAAAGGTCTTTACAAGTATTATCTGATTTAACTCTCTCTGGAACTTCACTTAATAGGTATTATGATTATTTCCATTTTGTAAACTCAGACACAGAGAGGGTTTAGACCTTGCCTAAGTTCAGTCACACAGTAAGAGATAGAGCCCAGATTCAAATCCAGACAGCCTCTGCTCTTAACTACTGTATTTTCTCTCCCCACCTAACCCCATCAATGTGCTGGCTCAGATTCCTGGGCCTCATGCTAATCCCACTGAGGAGCCACATCAGAATCTCTGGGTGGGCCCAGGTGGAGTTGTTTTGGTAAAGCCCCTCAGGTGATTCTGTTGTGCATCAAAGGCCGAGAACCCCTGTCTCCAGGTAGGCTCCTCAGAAGAACCTTTTAGTTCTTTTATTGATTGTGTGCTCATTACTGGAATGGCCTCAGGTGTTCAGTTTGGACAGCCATGTGAGTGGTGGTGGCTTTCGCCCACAGAGGCCTCCAAGAGCAGAGGCAGTGAGGGGCTGAGTTTCGAGCACGTGGAGTGGAATTGGCTGAGGGATGTGCGTGTGTCCAGCGGGCCTCGTACCTGTGAGTCTGAAGTAAGGAGAGGGAGCTGGCCCAGGAATACAGGCTGCAGAGTTGTCCGGGTGGGTACCGCAGCCCGGTGGGCGTGGACGTGCGTATGGACGGGGTGGCCTAAGGGGAGTCTGTAGAGCAACAGGAGGCCCGCAGTGCAAAAGGCTGAGAACAGTGAGAGGCCACAAGTTGGCAGAAGGGTAGCCAGTGAAGGAGAAGGAAGGAAACCAGGCAGAGAGTCACGGAAACCAAGGGAAGTGAGGGTTTAGGGAAGAAGGGAAAGGGCGACAGGTTCCAGTGCTGCCCAGATACTGGGCAAGATGAGGGCATGGGGGGTGACCTGGGTGAGAGCAGTGTCGACGGAGGAGTGGGCATGAGGGTCACTGGTGGGGGGCGAGTGGAGCGCTGAGCACAGCCCACGCAGGCCCTGAGTTATCTGTGAGAGGGAGATGGAAGGAGAGACACGGGCCAGGGGCGGACTTGTGACCTGGAGAGCGGGTGTGTGTGTGTGTGTGTGTGTACCCCTCACAGAGACTTTGTTCTTACGAGTTTGAGCTAGCTTAACGGCTGATAGGAAGGGGCCAGTAGAGAGGGAGAAGTGGAAGATTCTAGAGGGAGAGGGTAAAATTGATTAGGTCAAAGTATCTAAGAAAGTACAGAGGAACGTTATCCAGCCTGGAATGGAATATTATGGTGTAATCCATATTTTTCAAATAAGAGTTCAAATTAAAGCATTAGCAGAAAATTCTGTAGAGATTTTGCCCGTGTTGCAGAAACAGTTGTTAATGATTTAACTTCTCTCCTGTGCATCTAGGATGATATCAGCCTGTACCATCCTTTGGAGAAGTAAGAAAACAGTAAACCAAATCATTTTCTGAAGGGCTTAGTTCTCTCTAGAAACATGGGTAAGAAAGGCTGGCTAGAATAATTTATATCCTCACCTACATCATTTGGCAGAAACTAATCAAAACTCTCATTTAGTTCAGCACTGCCATTGGGCGGCACACAGTTGTCTCAGATTTGCCAGAAATCCAGGCAGTAACAGAAGCACCAGCCTTACTTAGTGTGCCTCACGAAGATGGCTTACTTTTTTCCTGTTTTCTCCTAATGCTGTAATTTGAACATTTTGTTTTTGATACCTTGTTTTTCTAATTCAGGAATATTTTATATTTTCAAAGTATTTAGAATCCTTTAATTAGAAAAATAAAGGCAATGGGATTATCTTTCAGGTTCTAAAAGTACCCATGAATTAAATCACTCACATCCCCCTCTTAAAAAACACAACAAAACCTTAAATCACATTGCTGTTAAGTTTTCTTACAGTAAGAAGACCAACCTGCGCTAGAGTACAAAAACCTGAAATTCTAAAAAAACAAAAAAAAAAAAACCCCGGAAATTCCGAGCATGAAAGTAATTTATTGATTAGACATCTGGTTTATTCAAGCATAAGGCCTACCAAAGATAGAATTAACACAGCTCATGGAATAGGAAAAAAACCCCATCCAGCACCTGCTTTGTCTCAGATTTCCTGGGGACAAAATTTATGCATTCTGTACTACAGCCTCACCCTGAAGCATTCACATGTGCTTGATATTAAGTTGAATAGGATATGAGAAACTTTCTGTACACTCAACTTGGCAAAGCGTCATTAGTGATGCAACTTTCAGAAACATTCTTAGGCACAAGAAATAGCACTGCCTGCAGTGAGAGTCTTTGACAAAGAAAAGAATATCATTAAATATAATCTTACAAATAGGAAGAAAAATATACACACTTTTGCCAATGGATTGCTTCACATATCAGGAAAAATGTCACAAGCAGAGATTTTCTTTCGATGAGATTAAAACACCGATACTCAACTTTTAATGTTTTTGATATCTTTTTTACCCCTTTTTATCTTTTAATATCCACTAGCTATCTACCATCTTGCTAATAACGTTCTCTAGTCTGCTTTAGTATCTGCAGTGTATTTACTTTTTATAGACTATTCTTCTATCTACTTGTCTGTTTTAGTAAAGACAAGTAGCATTATTATGAAGCTTTGATAACTAAAAAACTTAAAATTATTTTCACCAGGGAAGTTAAACGAGTGCATTTGTAGACATACATTTACTTAAATCGCCCGTGAATCTTAAAATTTGTAAAGGGTTCTGCTCATCCTTGTTCTTATGAACACATTCAGAAACTTAAAAGACAACATGATTTCTGTTTCTCAGGAATTGTTGAGTGTATGGCAGCCGGCACGATCGTCCTTGCACACAATTCAGGGGGCCCGAAGCTCGACATTGTCGTTCCTCACCAAGGCGAGAGAACTGGGTTTCTGGCTGAAAGTGAAGAAGACTATGCTGAGACTATGGCCCATATTCTTTCCATGTCTGCGGAAAAGAGACTCCAAATCAGGAGCAATGCTCGTGCATCTGTAAGCAGATTCTCCGATCAGGAGTTTGAAGTGACATTCCTAACGTCTGTGGAAAAGTTATTTCAGTAATTCCGTATCTGTACAAACTAGAGATATTTTATATAAAATGGTTAGATACCTTCATATGTTAATAGTTTTCTAAACTCATTCCCTATTATAATAAAGTTAGTCTAAGCAAGCCCTCAGCAGTGTGTATATAACCAAGGTATTTATTTCAGTGGAAACAGGCAAAATTACCTAAGTGGAAAAGGTAACCTTATATAGTTTAAATATAAAAATCTTAGACTAGTGTTTGGTCTCAAATTCTGAAAAATATGGGTATGAAAGAAAAAAATGAACAATCTTAATTTTGGTATAATCCATATTTTTAAAATCCTATTTATCAAATCACTTTACTTTAGAAACCAGGAAAGAGAATTTCCTTTTAGAAAAAAGGAAATATTGGGAAAAAAATGGGTGATTGATAATTGATTAGTACTTTAGAATTATTTTGATATTTTTGGAACACAGAAAAATTCTGGTATGTTTAAATTCAAGCAATATTGTGGATAAAATTTTTGAATCTAATGATCCTCTTAAAAGAACAAAAACTTTAAGCAGACTTAATCATGTTCTAAAAGCATGTAGTCAAAAGCCAGGCTCACCGTGATTGCTCTATGTGTGTGCGTGGGCATGTAGAGACCAGGGTACTGCCAATAATCCTTTCTGTTAACTAGGTATTTGTGAAAATAGTTTTATGTTTAGTGCTATCAGTACATTTTTATGGACCTCTCATTATCCCTTAACATTTTCATGTCCCAGAGGCTATAAGTCAGCTTTTTGAAGTCATTCAAGAGGTCTGAGTCAGAACATCAAGGTAAGTTGTTTTTCTGATATTGAAGATACAATATTTGGATCCATCCACATGGTCTCTGTAATCAGCATCATGCACTGTAAAATAGGTGGCATTTTGAAAAGAGCACTGGACTAGCAGTAGAATAGCTGGACCTGACCTCAGCTTCATCATTTACAAACATCTGACCTTTTGACACTAAAGCTGCTCCCTAATCGTTCTGAGTGTCAGCTTCTTTCTCTGTAACCTGGAGATGGTAATGGCTGTCCTCACTGCCTTTCATAGTTGTAATGAAAACAGGGAACACAGAAAGTATGTGAAAGTACTTTGAAAATTATAAAAGTTACTTTAAAGGTAACAGTATATAGTAAATGTCTTCTAGAATCCTATCTTTATCAGTGCATTACGATCCTATGTAGATTCTTGTTACTAAGCCAGTAACTAAGAATCAGTATAATTTAACAGGACTCCTATCCTGAATAACTAGCATGGAAAAGTGAATATATACATGTGCAGATAAGGCTGTTGAGACTATAACTGTTGACATTTTCTGCATACATAATCAGTTCCTTCTAGTTCAGTGAATTGACCTCCTTCACAGTCTGATACACCTTTGTGTTCGGGGCATGTGAAAGAGGTACATTTTTCCTTTCCAGTCTCCTCTTGTCCATTCATCAATCCACCCAGCTTCTTATCTGCTTCCAATTACATTATTGATTCGTCTGCAGGCTATCTTCTGTCATCAGATCAAAAAGCACCAAAACAGAGTCCCAGGCTGTTCTGACACACCAGAGTAGCTTTGTGTTGGAGAGTATTTAATTTAGAAAAGAAAAACTGGTGGAAATTGTAGCTGGAAGGAGCCCTACAAATTCTCTAGTCCAATTTTCTCTTATTTTCAACTTTACAGACAGGAACAATTTAAAGAATTTTGATTCTGTCAGTATCACAAAGTTGTTTAATGACAAAATCAGGATTACCACCCAGGGGGTCTGACCCCCAGCCCAGTGCTTTTTCTTATCTTATAGCTAGTCTTTGAAGTAAGAGTCATTACCATTGTCCACTCACCCTACCCATCTACCCAAAGAAAATCATGGGACTGAAGATAAATTGAAATGGACAGAGCAAAAGTAGAGAATATAGGAAAGAAAGGATTCTGAAATTCCACAAAACATTTTTTAAGCTAATTTCTTCAAAATGATTTTCATTTATCACAAACCTATCATTAGAAAATTTGCATATATGTTTCCTTTCAGTGTTCCTAATGTGGTGTTAAATGTTTGTTTGTGAATACTGGATACCATGAAGAATGTCAAAGCAATATGTCAGCTACTGTCTGCCTGGAGAAATTGAGTGACTATTAATTCCTGTAAGACACTGCTTTTGAGTGGTCCAAACATGCTGTTTTGAACCTACAGCAGTGGTGATTCACATTCTTATTTCCAGTTGTGCATAACAAACTACATGTTACATGTTCTTTGTATAGTAATTATTTGTATCTAAATATGATTTAGATTTAATAGGTACAAAGTCTATATCTAAATAAGATCTAAAGAAGTGGTTTTATTATCTTACTTTTCCCAGTACAGTGCCTTTACACCCCTCATGTAGTCTCCCAATTCTGAATTATTTATTATCTACTGCTAATATTCCCAAGCTCCACATGCCAAGAATTTTTTTTAAAGAAAGAAAAAAAGTTGTTAAAGGCAAAACGAAACTGTTTTGCCTCTTGTACCCAAGAATAGGTTGTCAGGTTTAATAGATTTTTTAAAATGAATATTTCAGACATATAAAATACTACAGAGCTTCATACACTTTAATAATTTTCAGGGTATTTTACAAAGTCATATTCCAGACAAAAATATGAGATAGGGGCCAGTGTGATTATCAGTGCTGCTTTCAGAATATTTGTGTATTTAATTATGTAAATGTACCCTAGACTCCAGAACTATGATATGAATAAATAAGTGAAGGTGTGTCTGCTAAATGTGTCAATGGGTACAATGAAAAAGTTACTTCCCACACTACTATATATAAAATAGATAACTAATAAGAACCTACTGTATAGCACAAGGAACTCGAGTATACTCAATACTCTGTAGTGACCTGTATGGGAAAAGAATCTAAAAAAGAGTGGATATATGTATATGTATAACTGATTCACTTTGCTGTACAGCAGAAACTAACAGAACACTGTAAATCAGCTATACTCCAATAAAAATTTTTTAAAAAGTTACTTCCATTAAACCACAACAAGAAGCTATGCAAATTACTAGAATCAAATTATGCCCATGTGATTTGCCCCACCTCACCCACTATTCCTCTTTCCCCACCCTAAGTAAGGCCACCCTTGGCTTTGGAGAAGCATCAGTTCCAATACTCTAGGGCTCACTCGGATCATGCATAACTGTTACAAGACACTTAGAAGGGAGGTTAAGGGTTGATAACACTTCTTGGTACTATTTAAAGAATGATCAAGTTGATAGATATCATACATAGTTACCAAAATGCATGATTTTTCTAACAAAATTTATTCTAAAGACATATGCAGGTCTGATCAATAGTTTCAATTTAACAGATGTAGCCAAGCCTAAAACCAGAGTAAAGCAATCAGAACTGGGCCTCAAGAACATGATTAAGGTGACAGTGTGTGTAAGATAGGTAAGGTGAATTGGGCTGGAGCAGGTTGAAAAACCTTGCAGATACGCATACTTATCACATTGAATACTTCCTAATTTACAGTGAAGAACTCAAAATCTTAGAATGAATGATAAGGGTGGGTGGCTGTTACCTAAAGGAGATTTTAGCCAAGCATCTGGTTATTGGAGCAAACCTGATATGTTTATTCTTAAACACTGACCTTAAACATTCCTTTTTTTTTTTTTTTCCTGTATATAATTGATCTTTGGGATTTTTCAGGAACCATGTTTCATTTTCCATGCTTTCAGGTACTGTTTAGAATGAGGATGATATCAGCAGATTCAGTGTCTGAACCAGATAATGTCCTGAAAGTAAATTAAACATGTATATACTGACCACTAAAAGAGCTGTAGAATTAAAGATGCTTCAATCCCTCAGGGTCATGTGTTACCTAGTTTGAAACTAACATAATGGTGAGAAATTGTTAAATATTCTTAGCCTCATGATGTGACCATACTGAGCCCTAAAAGAGTAGAATGTACTCTATACACCGAGTTGGAAGAACAGCCCCTCAGACATCACCAGGAAAATAAAGATAGAAAAGACTGGACACATCCCAGTTAGGGAAATCTTGATACTTACATGCCCCACATTTAATATTATACCAAATGTAAATGCTAAGCAGACCTTAGGAATAATTTGACCAACCACTCCTCATCTTTGTTTACTTGGTTCAGCAATGCATCAATGTGCCAGTTTAGTTTTATTTTCATTATAGACCAGATATTTCAGGCCGAATTCTACCACTTAGATATAACCACTCTTGTCCTTCGTAACAGCAGGTACAACAAATACCTGCTAAGCTCCAGGCACATGTTCAACACTGGGATTGTTACAATTAATACAAAAAGTTTAAGTCTAGTTTCCTGCCTCAAAGGGCTTACAGTCTGAATGAGGAAATTGTATTAGTATTTACTTATTCAGTTAAGAAACATTTCTAGCATGGTGCTAAGCACTATATATAAAAAGATCATCATAAGAAACAAAGACCAGATATAGTCCCTGCCTTCCAGAAGTTTATAATCTATATACATTTGAAACTATTAGAAAATAATTCAGTGAAACAATAAAATTATTATTTGGTACATAATTGACATGCCTTGTTCCTCTCCTTACTCCTGTGTCAACGTCAGCTTCAGAAAAGCATGTTCAGTATACCTTAAGAAATTTCAAAGTCATGGTTTTATAAAACGGCAGATTCATTATTTTAAATGAATGAGTTTGTATATTCGTTTTCTATCACTAGTTACAAATGACCACAAACTTAGTTAAAACAACAAAAATTTATTATCTTACAATTCCATAGGTCAGAAATCTAAAGTGGATTTCACTAGGCTAAACCAAGGCGTTGGCAGAGCTGAATTCCTTCGGCAGGCCTTAGGGGTGAATCCATTTCCCTGCCTTTCCCAGCTTCTAGAGGCTGCCTGCATTCCTTGGCTTGTGGCCCCTTCCTCCATCTTCAAAGGCAGCAGCATCAAGCTGAATCCCTCTCAGTTGCCATCTCTCTGGTTCTCTCCTTTCCCTCCCTCTGCCACTTTCAAAGACTCGTGTGCTTACACTGAGCCCACCTGAATAATCCAAGATAACCTCCCTATTTTAAGGTCAGCTGATTAGCAACCTTAATTCCATCTGCGACCTTAATTCTCCTCTGCCAGGTAAAAATATATTCACATCTTTGGGTGCGTGTGGGGTGAGGGGAGCCACGTTACTCTGCCAACCACACATATTATCTGAAAGATTTCTTAGCGTAAAAATATTAATTTCTACATTCAGAAGTTAGTCCTATTGTCTAAATTGAGAAGAAAACTAATAAAACCTTGGGATTACTGGAAAGCCCTTACAATAAATGTATATTTATGACTGTTCCCGAAGAGACACTGTAATAGATACTAACCTGTTACCTAAGAAAAAGTTCAATAATCACACTTGTATATTTTGACTGGTGGCTGATATTCCTGGGTCTTCATCAACAATACAAATTTTGTCATCAGATGGAGTAAAAATACTCTCCAAACCTTCATTTAATTCTGCATGTTTCTGAATATGCAGGGGATATTCCTATCCCCTCTCTTTCTTTTCAGCACCCGTGGAGGAACTGGAAACCTCTTCCCTTTTTTTCTGCCTCTTTGGAAGTGGAGAGTTTTTCCAGGGATTCTACTGCTTCATTTCTCAGCTCATCTTCAGATTCTTCAAAATTGCTGAAATAATCAGTAAAAATCAACTGTGGGATATCAAAACACGAATGAGTACATGTGAAAATTAGTGTCCCTTCTCATGCCCCACCCCCACTTGACCAGTTTGAAAGTTGCTTTTTCACCCAGGTAATAAATTATATCAGTCTGGTTTCTCTAAGGATGATAAACAACCAGTGTTGGGAGAATCAGTATTCTGTTTAGCTGGATTTGTGTTCAATAACTTTTATTATATTAATATCCATCTACTCTTAGTTTAAAAGAAGAGGAGGGAAGAGAAAAAAGTAATAATAAAACAGCTGCCATATTTTGAGCCCTTCCTATGTGCCAGTCACTTCCCTGGAGCACTTTACACATACTATATTTCATCTACTAATAACAACACTTGAGGTGGACATTATCATCATCGATTTATAAAGAACCTGTGCTCAGAGAGGTTTAAAAAAAGTGCCCGAGGTCTCACAGCTCTTAATTAGTAGGACCAGGAACTGAAACTGTGTCTAAGGCTGCAGCACTGATGCTTTTAGAAAAGAAGGGAAGAGACCAAGAAAACTATCTCAAAGATCACGGATATTTAAGGAGCAAAGGAAAGAAACCTAGGAGGAGCTGGTAGGAACCAAGAGTGTTCGTCATGGAAGCCAAGGGAGCAGAGAATTTCCAGAGAGAGGGAGCAGTAACATAAGATGAGGACTGAGAAATGATCATCGGACTCGGCAACTTCAAGGTAACAGATGACCTTTGCAGGAATATTTCAGAGTTCTCTGCAGCCGGAGCCATCATGTAGTGGATCAAGAAAGCAATGGGAGGTTTAAAAAAGTGATGACAATGAGCTAAAACTCCTCTGAGGGGAGCCCTGCTCTAAAAGGACAGTATTATCTCAAGAACATAAGGGGAATGGGTTTTTTTGGTGTTTTTCAAGATGGGAGAGATTTGGGCATGTTTAGAAGCTTAGAGGAAGTAAGTAATAGATGTTGAAAATACAGGAGAAAGGTAGATTAATTGATAGCAACATGGTCACTGAGGAAAGACTGGGACTTAGAGCACCTGTGTAAGGAGGAGCTTTCAACAAAAAGGGAGACTGCTTTCCTCTGAGAAGGAAGATAGGGAGAAGGAGTCAAGGACGCATGTGTAAAAAATTCATGGATCTACACAACAGAGGTAATTCCACCTACAAAACACCCCCTCTGTGAAGCAGAAGGCAGGGCACGTGATGAGAGCAAGGTGGATGGGGCTGAGTGTGCACGACTGAGGGTTTGGAGGGAAGCTGACCAGGCATAGGATTGCTAGGTATCACAGGACTCCCCTGAAATTGGAGAGCATCAGTTCAGGGTGGACCAGTAATTATAGCTCCCATGTGTTAAGTTGCCATTACTCAGGTATGTGCTTACACAAAATCTTGCCTTTGGGCTTCCCTGGTGGCGCAGTGGTTGAGAGTCCGCCTGCCGATGCAGGGGACACGGGTTCGTGCCCCGGTCCGGGAGGATCCCACATGCCGCGGAGCGGCTGGGGCCGTGAGCCATGGCCGCTGAGCCCGCGCGTCCGGAGCCTGTGCTCCGCAACGGGAGAGGCCACAACAGTGAGAGGCCCGCGTACCGCAAAAAAAAAAAATCTTGCCTTTGTCTCCATTTCTCTACAACATAATATGTCCGTGTGAATTTCTTTTCATTGATCCTGCTTGATTATTCTTTTATTTCCCAGATATCATGATTCGTGGCTTTCAATCATTACAAAAAGTTCACAGCTATAATTGCTTTGAATATTGCTTTTCATTTATTCTCTTCTGGAATTCCTTTTAGATATACATTGCATCTTCATGCCTCTTAACACTTCTTTCACATTTTCGATCATTTTTTCCCCTTCGGATCTATCTTCTGGTTACTAATTCCTTCATTAACTCTATCTATTCTGTTTTTAAACTGCTGTATTTTAATTTCTATTGGAAGATTTTTTTCACGTTCAGAAGTTCTATTGGTTGATTATCATATCTTCCTGTTCTTTTTTGATAGACCTGCTTTTTTCTGTTTTCTTATTTTAATTAAATAATTTAAAATACACAATAGTAATTATTATACAAATATTAAATACTCATAATATTATCTGAAGTTGTTTATGACCTAATTTAGCTATTTGTTGTGTCTGCTGTCTCTCATAGTGGATTTAATCTTTAATTGTGAGCTCATCTTCAGCAGTGCTTTAGTGAGAAATTCACTGTGACCTGGATTGAGGCTATATCCCTCCAGAGTGTTTTATATGTATTTCTTCTAGAGATCCCAGAGTATTACAATCTCTTACTGCGAATTTTAATGTTAATTTTTCAATGTATGTGTTTCTAGACCATCCAAGTATTGTAAATTCAAACTCCAAATCTGAGTGAAGGCAAATCCATGGTTATAAATTTCTCAGGAAGTATTTTTCTCCCAGAGATTGAGCCAAGACAGACAAGCCACATTCCTGAGCTTTTTTCCCAGACCACCCTTGCACTAAAGAGCAGCTCTTCAAGGGTTCCATTTAGGAAGAATGGAGGGGAACCCAATGAAGAAACCAAAAACCTGTCAGATATGTAGGAGATGCCAAGAGATAGGAAAGGAGGGAAGAAAATTTTAAAAACAAAACCGAAAAAACCTCACAAAATACAAAAGAATCTCCAAAACAAAATGAGCCTGCAAACTAAAATTCCAAAACACAAGAATAAATCTAATGGTAAGAAAGGTGGGCAACAAAAATTTTTTTTTTTTTTAAGTTGGACCATGAACTAACTTGAGATGAAATTTTCTTTTTTTTTTTTTTTTGGTACATAGGCCTCTCACTGTTGTGGCCTCTCCCGTTGTGGAGCACAGGCTCCTGACACGCATGGCTCACTGGCCCAGCCGCTCTGCGGCATGTGGGATCTTCCCGGACCAGGGCATGAACCCGTGTCCCCTGCATCGGCAGGCGGACTCTCAACCACTGTGCCACCAGGGAAGCCCAAGAGATGAAATTATTTTTATGGAGGCATTGGAAGAAATTTTCACATATTGGGGTATGGGGAAGTCATTCTGGCTTATACATGATTTGGCCTATACTTTATGTGACCTGGAACAGCCTGTCTTATGGCCAGTCAAACACGCTTGTACATCTGCTTTAACCATTAAAGAGTGTCAACTCTGGGAGCTTCCCTGGTGGCACAGAGGTTAAGAATCCACCTGCCAGTGCAGGGGACACAGGTTTGAGCCCTGGTCCGGGAAGACCCCCCATGCCACAAAGCAACTAAGCCCATGCGCCACAACTACTGAGCCTGTGCTCTAGAACCTGGGAGCCACAACTGCTGAAGCCCGCGCGCCTAGAGCCCGTGCTCCGCAACAAGAGAAGCCACCGCAATGAGAAGCCCGCGCACCACAACGAAGAGTAACCCCCTCGCTGCAACTAGAGAAAACCCGTGCGCAGCAACAAAGACCCAACGCAGCCAAAAATAAATTTAAAAAAAAAGTGTCCACTCTGAAGATAGGGATAAATGTTCCCTGTTCCCATGACACCAATGCTAAAATACTCCTTCAAAGATGAGGGTCCCTTCCCAGACACCAAGGTCATGCTGACTCGCTGTGTATGTGCTAATGGCTCTTTTGAAACCTTGAAGGAAGGTACCCCTGTCATGTTTGATGTTTGTTCTTTGTTCTGGCAAAATATAAAACTGTACTGAAAACCATGCTTCTCCAGAGGGTTTTCTTCTTCCATGGTGGAGTCTACACTCCTGGTCTATAGTTCTCAGTTTTGCTTGAATAAAACTCTCTTCTATTCTTTATTATAGATTGTTTATAATTGGCATCGACAGAAGATTTTGATAAAGCCCTTAAAGTAAGTATGCTCAACAAGAGAAAGCACAACATCCATTTTAAAATGTTTTTAAATTATGGGAAACAATTATGCAAGAATGAAGCAAGAACATATAAATATAAGAACAAATAATTATAAATATTAGGAAATATGTAATCATTTAAGTTAAAAACCTAATAGATGATACCCAGAGAGAATTGGAAAACAGTATTCAAGAATTCACCTAGATTGAAACAAAGAATAAAAAATAGGAAAGGGATCTTCCCTGGTGGTTCAGTGGGCAAGACTCCATGCTCTCAAGGTAGGGGGGCCAGGGATCGGGGAACTAGATCCTGCATGCACGCCGCAACTAAGAGTTTGCATGCCACAATTAAGAACCGGTGCAGCCTAAATAAATAAATATTTTTTACAACATATGAAAGTACAACTAGGTGTTATTGGGGACAGATTGAGAAGCTCTAGAATCTATCTAATTGGAGAGCCAAAATGGAGGGAATAAGAAAAGCGCTATCTGGAGAAATAATAGGTAAAAAATTTCCAGAACTAAAGAAAGTCATGAGTTCTCAGAAGAAAGTGAACCAAGGAGGATAAAAGATAAATCCAGACTTAGAGATATCATAGCAAAACATAAGAATGAAAGAATAAAAAGTAAGTTATAAAAGTACTAGGGCGAGAGTTAGCACATCTATAAAGGAAAAACAATTAGATGATAGCAGATTTCGCATCAGCAATAACAGAGACCAGAAGAAAAAGGGAGAAGGCTGAGAAAATTCTCCCCTCCCTCCCTCCCTCCTCCCTCCCTTTAAATGGAACAAAGTAGAGGGGTTTGGATAAAGGCCAAATAGGGATAAATTTGTCATATTCTCGTTGGCTCGCCTAGTTTAGGGATTTCAAAACATTGTGAAAGTTGCTGAGGACTCCCTCCTTCCTCCCTCCCTCCCTTCCTCCCTCCTTCCTCCCTCCCTCCCTCCTTTATTTGCTAGACAGGTTGATTCTAATGTTCCCATGGAAAAACAATTAAGACTAGACAGGAAAATTATGAAAAAGGAAAGCCCCCCCAAACAATAAAACATATTATAAACATGTTTATAATATAATAATTAGACTAGAAAGAATAGGAATTGGATACAAATACACATAAAAATGTTGTATATCATAAAAGTGGCACTGCAAATTGGTATCAAAAATAAAGATTTTCAATAAATGGTGTTGGAATAAGTAAGGAGTTATTTGGGGAAAAAATTAAGTTGGAGCCATACTTTACAGTACAAGTAAAATTCAAGATGAACAAAATATTTAACTAAATAGAAAACTAAATCATAAAAGTACTAAAAAATTCTGGTATCATTTTTTGTTAAATACTTGATAAATCTAAGTAGACAAAAGTAAGAAATTTCCTCATGGCACAAGTCACTATAAATACAATCAAAAAGCAAACAAAAAACGGGAAAATATTCTTGAAACATATTACAGCTAAAAGACTAATTTCCCTAAAATACCAAAAGTTCCCCAAATCAACACAATGTTAATAGCCTAAATTTTTTAAATGACTAAGGCTATAAATAAAACTGATTCCCAAAGGAGGAAATAAAGATGGATCTTAAGCATATGGAAAGGCAACGTTACTCATAAAAGAAATGCTAATTAAAACAAACCTGAAATGGCATTTTAAAATCTATCAACTGTGCAATGATCCGTAAGTTTGGTAACACACTGAGCAAGGAAATGTACAAGGAAACAGGCACTTCCATACCCTGTCAGTGGAAGTGTTCATAGGTGTAACCTCTGTGAAGGGCAATTTGACACTATCCAATTACAAACGTACATACTCTTTGACACAACACTTTGCTGTTCTGGGAATTTAAACTCTCTATATACTACTGTTTGTATATTATGATAGGTACTCAAGATACACTGTTAAGTGATAAAAGGAAGTTGCGAGATAGTATCTACATTATGAAACTGTTTCTATAAAAAAGAAAAGTAATATACACATACCAAGATATACAGATTTGCTTATATTTTAATGGAATTTCTCAGAAGTATGCACAAGAAGCAGATTGGATTGGTTGACTCTGGGGAGGGGAATTGTGTGGCAGAGGTAATGAGATAGCAGAAAGACTGTGAAAAGAATATACCTTTTGAATTTGGAACCATGTGAATATATTACCTATTTTAAAAGTAAATTATAATAAAAATTTTAAACTTCAAAGGACTCCAAATTTTAGAAATAATAAGAGAGTTCAGTGAGGTTACAGGATACAACATCAATAGAGTTCCATACACTAGCCATAGCCAAAATGTAGTAGGAGAAAAATGACCCCATTAATAATGGCAACAGCAACAAAAAAGTTAAGTGGTATCTATATCATGAAGAAAACTACAAACATACTGAAGAATATTTTAAAAGGCATAAATAGATGGATCTATACTATATTCATGGATGTTAAGACATAATCACAAAGATGTGAATTCCCATAAATTAATCAACAAATGTAATCTCATTCTCATCAAAATCCCAACAAGCTTTTTCATGACACTTTACAAGAGAATGAAAGGATGTATACGTTGAGTAAAAAGCAACAGCAAAGATAATTTTGAAGAAAATGATATGGAGACTAGAGGAAGCTGTGAGGACTAGCCATACCAGATATCAAAAGGTACAATAAAGCCATAGTAACTGACAGAATATCACTGATGCAGAAAGGGAAAACAAAGCCATTGGAAAAGAATGGAGAACGCAGAGACAAACCCATGTACATAAGAAAATTTGGTCTCCTTAGCTGGGTGTTTGAGGCTATATTCTATGCCTCACCAACAGCATTTTAACTTTTTACGATTTTTACTATATCCCGTGCTTCATTTAGGCATCTAGGTATGACCTACTTACGTATCATCATCATCAGATCTTGGTTCTGGTTGTTCTTCATCTACTTCAATGTCAGAGGCCACTTCTACCTTCCCCTTGTCTTCTTTAGGAAGCCATTGTCTTAATGGTCCCACTGTTAAATGACAGAAAGAGAGATTAAAGCATCCCAGCCTATACATCTCGAGAGGGACATATACCAAAAATCCTGTATTGAACATCAACCACAATGGTAAAACCTTTGAATAATTTCCATTAAAACAGAGAATAGACAGGTGACAACTGACACCAACTATTCCGCATTGTACTGAAGGTAGTAGGCAACACAAGAGAAAGAAGTAAGAAGAATAAGGATCAGAGATGAAGAGACAAAATAATCCCACTTTGGGAGTAGATGCTTTGATTGTATAGAAAATTTAAGAAAATCTTCTAAAAACTTAACACTTTCCAACATTACTGCACTACCCTTATTCTTCGTTGTTTTTGTTTTTGCGTTACGTGGGCCTCTGACTGTCGTGGCCTCTCCCGTCGCGGAGCACAGGCTCCGGACGCGGCTCAGCGGGGATCAGAGATGAAGAGACAAAATAATCCCACTTTGGGAGTAGATGCTTTGATTGTATAGAAAATTTAAGAAAATCTTCTAAAAACTTAACACTTTCCAACATTACTGCACTACCCTTATTCTTCGTTGTTTTTGTTTTTGCGTTACGTGGGCCTCTGACTGTCGTGGCCTCTCCCGTCGCGGAGCACAGGCTCCGGACGCGCAGGCTCAGCGGCCATGGCTCACGGGCCCAGCCGCTCCACGGCATGTGGGATCCTCCCGAACCGGGGCACGAAGCCACGTCCCCTGCATCGGCAGGCGGACTCTCAACCACTGCGCCACCAGGGAAGCTCTTCTTTGTTGTTTTTATACACAGTATTCAGTTTATGGTTATGGTTAATCACTGATGTCTGCAAAGAAAACCCAAAACACACACCCACAATTTTATCTTTTTTGGTGAGGGGAGGAAGGAGGTGAGGGGATGAATTAATTGTTATTTAAAATGTACTTTTTAGGAATTCCCTGGCGGTCCAGCAGTTAGGACTCCGTGCCTTCACTGCCAAGGGTGTAGGTTCAATCTCTGGTTGGGGAACTAAGACCCTGCAAGCCCCACGGCTCAGCCAAAAAAAAAATCTTAACTCTTGTGATTTCAAATAATGTCCACATACTATTAAATACTTTGCAAGCATTAAAAAAAGAATGAGGTAAGCCAGACTCTTAAAAATTAAAAATTAAAAAAAATGTACTTTTTTTCTCTTGGGAAAAAAATCAGAATGAAGGTGGTACAATATTTAATTTCTTTATAGAAAGCAGCATCCCCTCAACAACTCTAAGATTCCAATGATTATGAGATGCACATATTTTATACACCAATAGCAAAGAAAATGTTCCCAACAAAATGGCACAATGTTTTCTTAGCCCTTAGAATTTATATATATATATATATATATATATATATATATGTGTGTGTGTGTGTGTGTGTGTGTGTATATATATATATATATATATA